GCACTTGGTATACTCCCAACCAGCTGGCCCGTCAATAGGTAGAATCACTTTTTTTTCGATATCGGTCCCGTGAGTTGGATTTTATATTCAGCTTCATTCCGCTTTGAAATTCGATATAATGACATAAGATGTTTAATGTAAATATTTTTATCTCATTTCCTTTTGATTGATGAGACGACGCTTAGAAATTGCATAAATAATAACCGAGTTTTCGACATATTCGCTTGAACTGCAAGATATATTATGCATAATAAATCGAAGTAAAACTATATTGATTTTTTGATGAATATATTGTATGTGGTCTCACCGTAAAGAGTAACTTTTTTGCATAGCATACATAGAGAATGGTTACGAGAAAAATTAATTGTGAAAATGTAAACAATTTCGAGGACATTTTCATAATTCCGACATGAAAAACAAAGAAGAGAGGAAAGAATAAAGCGCAACAAAATAAAAGAAGAAAGAAACAACAGGAAACAAAAAAATTTATGGTTTTTTTTTTTTTTTTTTTTTTTGTAAACACATATGAGAGGTGCATGTACTTGCTGGCTGGCTGTTCGTTCATCTTCTGCTTGTAAGCATCAAGACCATAATTTAATAGTTCACCATTTTAGTTTTGTGACAGCATAAGATTGATTGAACAGTTATACTGAGTTGGTGCGCATAAATCTTATTGATTGATGATTATGTGTTTTGTAGTTACATGTTGTTTCGTTTTGTTTTCTTCTCTTTACAATAACAACAACAAGTTTGTTGCGGATACAATGAATATTTATACAAAAGCAAGAAAAATACATTTTTGATATAATAATTAATTTTCTTTATTATCAAAGGTGAGGCGAGGAAAAAAAACAAAACTAGACAATAATATTAAAATCATTATATAATTTATGATCAACGTATAATCGATTTATGATTAAAAATAATTACCATGTCATTATGTATCGTTGGGTGGGGATTTGCTATCTCGATGTAGGAATTAATTTAATATTATGCTTAATGTTTCAAATATGCTAAACAACATCATGTTTTAGCGTCGCTCTTGCAACATATTTACTATATCATTATGTATTCTTAGGTGGGGATTTGCTCTCTCGATATAGGAATTAATTTTAATATTATGTTTAATGTTTCAAGTTTCCTAAACAAGGCAATGTCTTTAGCGTAGCTCGAAATTTATTGGACTTACTTTTGGGACTTCTTTATAAAATTCATTTGATTCCCATAAAAGGTCCGATATGCAGCTTGGTTTAGTAGATAGGAAACGTGTTTATCAAGCCGGCACACCCGCAGTGCGGTAAATCATGCCTTGAATACGATTGGCTTGTGACTGCAGCCCCAGTGCATGCTTCGCCGGCAATGGCGTAAAACTTACCGACCAGTCATACACTATATAAGCTGCGACCACAGTTTACTTCTGCACTAATGGGCAAATGCGGTCACGAACGCTTGAACTTGGATCTGTGGGCTTGATTAAATCAACTTTCAATAATTCAAAGATGTTTCAACCACACTTCTGTTCAGAGCCCGTAATTGAGGAACGTTGCAGTTCTTCGAACTAACTGATAGTTCACGAAACGAAGAGACGTAAAGTTTGATTTCCAACCACGTCAAGAAATATTTCAAGCCGTAAAGCTATACTTTCATTCAAATGAAATGATATTTGAAAGTAGAGTTGCATTTTTGAAGGGATATTTCAAAACATAGGATTGTACTTCCAATAGATATTTCAGAACTTGCTTGCGCTGACGTAAAAGAGATATTTGAAGGTGTAGATTTATATTTTCATTCAAATGAAGCCATCTTTCAAAAAGTCAGAGTTGCATTTGCCTTTATATGAAGAAATATTTCAAGATACAGATAGTGTTGTTGTATCCCCACTCACGCGAAGAGATATTGCAAGACATATTACTAATCACGTAAAAGAGATTTGTGAAGACGCAGAGTTGCGTTATCATTTACATGAAATTATATTGGAACCTACAGAGTTGCATTTACATTCGGGTGAAGAGATATCTGATGCATGATGTTCATTTTACTATGAGTTGCTTTTGATTGAAATAATGTAAAAATCGATTGGGAACATTTGCACACTAACAAAAACAATTTTCGAATTGATGAAAGGTTTTTCGAGACCCTTTCGGCACAAAACCCCACAAAAGATTAGATGTAATAGGCTACACAAAGGGATTCAAACCTAATAGTTATCATGGAATTAGGCACTTATCTAAAACATCCGTAACTCTAATGTTGAAAACATTTGCGCTAAGAAGTCGGAGGATTGCAACGCATAGATTGGAGATCGAGAGATCGTGGACAAACATGTTCAGATCGATTCAAGAAGAAGAGGTAAACAATTTGGTATAATAAAAGGCAGGAAAGAAGGGGTGGGGGCGGGGGCGGGGGTGTCTATCCTAAATCCTTTCTCGCGTCATAAGTCAACGTAAGGTTAGATAATATGTTAAACAGAGAGATTAACAAATGAAATAACGTCATATACAAAACATCCGTAAGTCATATGTGCTAAGAATCAATTGGAGCTCTGAGGTTCGCGGTATATTCAACAATTTTATCTTTCACGGAATATCATCTTATTAATTTACGATTCATTCTAATCAAAGATTTCTTCCGTTTACACTTTTCAACCCCTTTTCAATTTGCTTCGAAGAATTCATTAATACTCACATGGACATCTGCTTTTACCGTTTACATGTTGCTTGTTGTTATTGTTATGGCTTTCCCTATAATCAATGTTTGATTCAAGATATGCTGCTGCTGCTCTAAGCATTCAATGAATTAATAGCTAATTGATCGGCGAAATGTATTAAGTATGTAGGTGTGTTTAGAAAACTAAGACAAGCTATAGACAAAATTGTTTGTTAATAATAATTCTCGATAATATAGTGAACGTGAACATAAGGAATTGATTAAATACCGCTTTCTCCTTTTTTAACTTTCTAATTACCTAATGGGCATAATTTTTTAAATAAAAAAATAATAGAAGACATTCATCGAATCATTTATACCCATCACCATTTATCGTCCTGTATTGTTTTGAATTAACACTCTCAGCTTGTATTCTTCTATTCCCCAAGTCCTTTTGTTGCATGCTTAGTTGATTGTATTGCTAAGAAGAACATAATCTTTCGCGTTGTGAGGTCCATCATATTTATTCTTCGGTTAACCCATTTTCAGACAGATGTGAGGAATGTACAAAATAATTGCCAACATTCAGTGTAAACAGAAAACAGAAAAAAAAAAACAAAATGAAAAATAATAAAAATTTGGTTACTTATAACTTTCTGTAGGCGTGGCCGATTGTTTCTATTGCTGCAAAATCACCCATAGGATGTTTTTATTTTGGAAAACAGAGGTGATCTTTTTTATTATTTTAGAAAACAGAGGTGATCTCAGATTGTGTTGCACTTTATGGGAAACTTCTTAAACTTCTGCGTGTTTCAAACGGTTTGATAAAATGATTATACCACTCATCCTTATAAAAATATATAAATGCATATATACATATGTAAATGCGTAACTTTGCGACGGACGTCCGCCATGAACGGATAAAGCAAAAAATTTCTGTTACTGCACTGACGCGTATTTATACCAAATAATAATTAAATGTAACCAGATGTCATATATAAAATTTATTGAGCCGTATGACGTTAAATTAAAAGCAATTTGTAAATTAAATTAAAGGAAATTGTAAAAAGAAAAAAAAAAAAAAAAAAAAAAAAAAA